TTATGCTTCATCGTAAAATAATTTCACCAAACTACTTTGGACCCTCACGAAATTCTATTCCTATGATAAGAAAATGATAACGGTAATATCACTAAAATGATAACAAAGACGACAGTAATAATAATAACAATATCAAATTCAATCATTCTATTAACAATAATCAAACATTAATAATAGTAATCAACCGATAAAAACAACAACAACCAAACAAGGACCATACTCAACTTACAATAATAATAACAATAAAACCCGTAATCACAATGACAACAACAACAAGATTAACCAATCGAAAAGCTGACCGACTACCACGATAAATTTGACATCAATCAGTCATTGAATCGAATGAATAAACCCTCTAAATCCTTCCTCGTATCACTTGCCAACGTCGCATATGCCCAACACTACCTTCGCCAATCCTCATTTTGTTTTCGATTCTCCGACGTTCGAGCATCATAATCAGCTGCCCCATTTCCACCGCTCTGTTGCTGTGGGGGAGTATCGAAGACGGGCGGTATCGGTGGTGCTCGAACAAACGCCGTGATCACTGGACTAGTACTGCTCAAATCAGCCGGAGAATTCTGAATCAAAGGCGCGTGATCCGATCTCATTGGCGTGCTCGATGTGATCGCAGACGATGTGATCGAATTCGAAACGAGAGCCGCTGACTGCGGATTGCTTGGAAACGATGGTGGAGGGCAATTCGGGGTGTAAGGCGCTATCTGAGGATGGTTGCTCCCGTTACCACTAGCACCACCACCACTATAATAGCCAGCGGGGCCGGACGATGAGCATACAGGAGAAGGTTTTTGTGGAGAACCATAACGATCCACACTACCTGCAAAACCGTGTTCTTATAGAACTATGCTTCTTGATGGTATCTTGTAAACAGCTACTATATCCTACTACTATATTGCAACTACTACTTATTATTGTTACTCAGACATCGAGTGGTCGTTTTGTCAATCGCAGTGAGCAATCGGCAGAATATTTATTTCATTAGAGTTATGATTACTTATTGGATTCATATTTGGCTACGATTATTTTTGCAAAGTATTCACGGCNTGGCCTGCTCGCCTAGCCAGCGGGGTGGCGTAAATTGAGGCTAAAACAATGTGCACGGAAACGTGAGCATTGTGGCCAGCAACGTTACAAGCGTTTGATAGTCTGGTCAATCCAGGTAATCCAGGTAAACTACTATATCCTCTGCTGTTCACTTGGAAAATTGTTGAAGTTTAAGTTTTTTACAATACCAATACAACATCCCAAATACGGCACTGATACTTATTTAAATTTATACTTACAATTAGTTAGAGACTCACCTGCATTAGATGAATAACGATTCGTAACAGGACCCTGCGGCCCATTCCATTGGCTACCAGAACCACCACG